TCAACTCTCATGTTCATCTCAATAGACTATGTACATATTTTTTTGAATTCCTTACACACACTGTCATGTCATTGTGATTTCTTCCTTTCCAGTCTATATATATTTTATTTCTTTTTCTTGCCTTACTCCTTTCTTTAGTTCTCCTAGTATAATATTGAGTAGAAGTGGAAGTGCCAGCATACTTTTCTTGTTCCCCATTTTATTTTCTTGTTCCCCAATTTAAAAAGGAATCATTATTTATGATATTTACTGTAAATTGTATAAATACCTTTTATCAAAGAAAATATTCCTAGTTTATTATGAAATTCTTCTGGGTGGATATTGAATTTTATTGAAGGCTTTTCCTGCATTTACTGAGATCATCGTATGATTTTTCTCCTTTAACCTTTAATATGGTGAATTACATTAATTGATTTTCTCATCTGAAACTAACCTTAAATTCCTGGGTGATTCAATCTGGTTATAATGTATTATATTGCTGACCATAAATTGCTGAAATTTTGTTTAGGAGTTTTATGTCTGTATTTATGAGTGAGATTGGCCTGAAATATCTGTTTCTCACATTCTCCAAGTCAGATTTTGGCATAAGGTTATGCTAGCCTCATAAAATGAGTTAAGGAATAATCTTTCTTTTTCTTTTTTCTTTTTTTTTTTTTTTTAATATTTCATGTTTAAGTAATCTCTACACCCAACATGGGGCTTGAACTCACAACCCCGAGATCAAGAGTTGCATGCTCTACTGACTGAACCAGCCAGGTGTCCCTAATCTCTCTTTTTCTACATCCTAGAATAGATTGTGTGATATTAGGATTATTTATTCCTGGAATGTTTGGTAGAAGTCACAGGTAAAATTGTTTCAGCCTAGATTTTTCTCTGCAGAAAATATTTAACAGGAGATTCAAGTTCCTAAGTGGTTATGAGTCTAATCTTGTTTTCTCTTTCAGTTTTATTAACTTATATTTCTTGGAATTTTCCACTTCACCTAAATTTTCATATTTAATTCACCTAAAAGGATTCACAGGGTTTTTTAAATCTTTAATTTCTGTATCATGTGTGATTATAACTTTTTCTTTATTTCTCACATTGTTGTGCCTTCTCTTTTTTCCTTGATCATTTTTACTAGAGGTTTGTAAAATGTATTAGTCTTTCACAAATCCAGTTTTTAGCTTAGTTAGTCCTTTCCATTGTATGTTTGTGTTTAATTTTATTATATTCTTATTTTTCATCATTTTCTTTCTTCTATTTCACTTTATTTTACTATTGTTTTTCTAACTCTTTTACTCTTCATATTTCCAACTATTTTCTCTTCTAACATAAGCTTTTAGGTCTATAAATTTAACTACTTCTTTAGTTTTATCTCCCAACTTTTTACATATAGTATCAAATATTTAATACATAGCATTTATTTATTGTCAGATTTCCATAATGATTTGCTTTTTGATCCATGAGTTTCCAAATAAATGGGTATTTCTAGTTATCGTTAAAAAAAATAGATGCTTTTTTTTAATCTTTTTTTTTTTTTTGAGAGAGAGAGAATGCATGTGCGTGGAGTGGGGGGAGGGGCAAAGGGAGAGGGAAAGAGAGAACTCAAGCAGTCTCCATGATGAGCATGGAGCCCCATGTGGGACTTGATCTCATGACCCTGAGATCATGACCTGACCCAAAATCAAGAGTCGGATGCTTAACAGACTGAGCCACCCAGGCGCTCCCACAAAAAATTGATTCTTGATTTAATTGCATTGCAGTAAGAACATATGGTTTTTGTGATATAAAAATTTCAAAATATGTTGAAACTTGCCTTATGGCTCAATCAATGATCAACTTTAGTGAGGTTTTTGGGTGGGCTCAAAATTAATTGATTTTTTTTTTTCTAATTCTATGATTTTGCATTTGAGATCCCACCTTTACTGGGACCTTCACTTAAACTGCATGTTCAAAGCAGACACTCGGTCTTTCACTTCTGCCCCTGAGGCCCCCAAGGCTGCAAACACCAATAGTCAAATTCACTAGCTTCAGCAAATACCTTCCAAGCAAAAGTTGACTTTGAACTCTGCTTACCCCACTGGTTTCTGGCCTTTACTCTGTCCTAGTGCTAGTTTTTAACTTCTTGCCAGTTTATAGATGCCTTCAAGAATATATTTTAAAATATTTTACCCACTATTTTTGTTGCTGTTATTTTAATTGAAAAAGTCCAGACATTTAGCTGACCATATTACTAAAAATGGAAATGCTTAGTTTTATTTTTCATCAAAGATTTATTGGGCACCTACTATGTGAGGAATAAGATCTATAATTGTGATCTGTATCCAAGGTGAACTAGTAACATGAGAAAAAGAGACATTGGGGTAGGATAGTGGGGGCAACCAATCGGTGGTGAAAATGGGTGGTTAAAAATACAGGTTTGGGAGAAAGCATGCCTGTGGATGAAACCAACGGTCACTGCTTACTCTCTGTGAGACTTGAGGCAAGTCACTCAAAGTCTCAGTGCCTCAGTTCTTTTGCATCAATAAATTGGTGTTAATGATAGAGATAACTCATAGGCTTGTAGTTAGAATTTTTAAAAGAACTGAGCATACAGTGATGGCCCGGAAAATGCTACGTAGTCTTTGTCCTGTGAAAGGATTTCAACCTAAAATGGAACTGGAGGATATGAAATGGAGAATCTCACTCATGCACCCTCAGAACAGAACTTAAGAACTCAGAGGCTGATTTCCTATAAATGCCTGGTTTACAGAAGACTGAGACTTATTTTCTGACCAGTGAACATCTGCCAAGAGTCCTTCTCCATCCTCAAGCCAATGAACTTACTGCTTGGACCCTGGCTGGACTTCCTCTTCTTTGCACTCCTTGCCCATAAAATGGACTCACTCCTCAATGGACTTGCTTGTAGCTGTAGCACAAGTTTCCCAAATTGTAATTCTTCTGCTATTCCTAGATAACCTCAAGTTCTGGTTATTCGAGATTGACTCACTTCACTTTATTGAGATTGACAGTCCTCACAGAAGAGATGCATAAACTGGGAATAACAAAGTTATTTTTCTAAGGTTTAATCACCTTCCATGGGAGCTGCCAAGGGGAGGGCATAAAAACTACCTCTCTTCCCACTCCAAGCTGGGAAGACTTGATTTTTATTCTAGGGAAAATCCTCTCCACTTCTGAGTTGCCTTAAAGAGAACCCTTTTCACTGGCCCTGTCCCTCCTGACTTAGATCAGTCCCTCAGCGAGTTTAGAGTGTTGGGAATTAGAGACATAAAGGAAACGTCTTGCAGGCCACTTCTGCTTTCCAGAAGTTCATTGAGACAAGCACAATGCCTGGCTATATTGTTAAAATGGGGTGGGAGGGGTGGGAAGGACAAAGAAGAAAATGCACGGAGAAAAATAGAAGTTAATATTTCAAAAATTATCCTGTTTCAAAAGGAATGGCAAAAGCATATGAGATGGGAGGTCCAGGAGAGAAAATTGGAGAGAAAAAGAACCCCCTGGATACCATGCTAGGGAACTTGGACTTTTTCCTCTAGGCACGGATGGCAAATAGCTTGTGCTACAGTCAGATCTGCAATTCAGAGTGGAGGCTACTGGAGGGCAGAAGGCCAGCTCAAATATGTCTATGATGGATAAGAGACGTGGCAAGGGCCTGATTGCTAGAGGGGTGAGAACACATGGCTGTGCAACTGCAGAAGACCTTGCAAGTGGCCAACATGGCAGTTGCCTTAGAGTAGAAATGAACAGACTTGATGTACATGGAATGAGGTAGAGGGAAATGAGACTCCCTCCTAGCTTTTTTCTGGCCAGGACGACTAGATGAGTGATGGCGTATTAGCCAAGATAGGAGATTCAGGAGGAGCAGGTTTAAAGAAGCAAACACGATGGGCATGAATTGGATATCACTGTGGGCCACGCTGGTGGAAGAGATGTCTAAAGTCACCAAGCACAGGCCTGAGGCTCTCAGAGGAGTTTCTGGCTGATTGGAGGAGGAGGGAGTTTCAAGAAGGAAATCGTGGTCAACTGTGTCTTACCCTATGGATTGTGAGAGAGAAGACTGAAAGAGATCTACTGTATTTGGCAACCAGAAGGTCATTGCTGACTTTAGTTTCAGGGGAGGAAGAGGACCAAAGCAGAAGGAAGACTGAAGAAGTGAAAAAGCAGAGACTCCTCTTTCCAGGTAGCTTGGCTGGGGAGTGAAGCTGTGATATAAATTGATTGCCTAAGAAGGAACAAAGGAACAAGAGAGTCTTCTCCTGCTTCTTTTCCTCCTTCCCTCGCCTCCTCTTCCCCCCACCTCTTCCTTTATCTTAAGTGGTGCGAGAAGCCTGAGTCTTCTGAAGCTAAGGGATGAATCCAGAGTTGAGCAAGGGGGGACAACTAGCAGAATGAGGATCCCCCATGGAGCTGGAAGGTGGTGGGGTCAGAGGACAGGTGAAGGAAGATATTCCTTCCTCTGACATTCCAGTGGAGTAGGTGGGATTTGGTGGTTCCCAACAGACTTCTTAGGCATCAGGGGAAGGAAATGAAGGGATATCATGCAACGAATATTTAGTGAGTCCCTACTTTGCTTAACTGGTGTTGTAAATTAGGTAGGCACCAGAGAATGAGGAAATATTAGAAATGCGAGTCATTCAGAGTGAGGTATCAAACCTAAGGTTGTTTGGAGGAAGGGAGGAGATATCTAGGTCTTCCTGAATTATGAAAGGAAGGAAGCTTGGTAGAATATTTCCCTTCCTAGGCAGGAGGTAGTGAAAATAGCCTGAGAGAAACAGGAAAAGTCTAAAGCAGGAAAAATGGAAGAAAGGAAAGAGAGCAAACAGTAACCGCATGTTCCAGGTTCCAGACATTAAGCTAAATTAGGCACTCTGTAGGCAAACCAATCCTGTGAGAAAGGCATTAATATTTCCACCTTACTGATGTACAAAGTGAGGATCCAGCTCTTTTCCTCTCTTCAATTCCACTTTTTCATAGTGGAGTAAAATGCTTTGAAATAATGGAGCAGAAATTCCAGTTCCTGTCTTTCTAAATTTTTATTCACTTGGAAGCCAGGTGAAAGGCACAGAAAAGAGGAAAATTCCTAGTGTGCTTAGGCCAGTGAAACTATCTAGTCTTCGTAGGGCCTTCGTTAAGGATGGGGCAAAGCTTGGCTGATGAGAAAGAGGCCGAAGGAACTTAGATGAGGAAGTGGTTGCCCTTGTTCCTGCTGCAGAACCACAGGGGGTTCCTGAGACTGGAAGCCGGTTTCCTGGGTCCCAGCCCAACCCAGCCACACTCCATCTGTGGGAAAAAAACTGTGCAGCCGCTGGGCTCACCACGCAGGAGCTTTACATTAGTGCCTATTTTCCAAGATCCTCAAAGTTATATAAATTATCATTATCAGAATGCGTACTGAGAAACTAACTGACGTTTGTAAGTAACACATATACTTCATTCATAACTTTCAATAATAGGCTGCAAAAAGATAAAAACCGTGTGCGGTAATATGGTTTCGGCAATCCCTTTCTTAAAAGTGTATTTTAAAATATGTAATGGGATTGGGGAAGAGAAGGGTGGGGAGAATAACCAAACAGGCGAAGTGGCTACTGTTGATCAAAAGTGGATTAAAAAACATTCAACTGTACACCTTTCTTTGCACTTTAATACATCTTTTTTGGCAGTTGGGCTCTAAGTTCCACGTGACGCGCCACACGGTTGCCATGGAGACTAGCAGAAACTTTTTTTAGAAAAGTATCCCTAGCGTTGCCCTACGCAAGAAAGAGGCCAGTGCCCCTGGCCGGGCAGCGCAGGAGACAGGCAGCCGCCACGGCGCATTCGGCGGCGCTGGCCAGGGAGGGAGGCCGCTAGGGTGTCGCGCG